TGTGGTCACCTTGACAACATACACACTGTAATACTTTCTGTGGTCACCTTGACAACATAAACACTGTAATACTTTCTGTGGTCACCTTGACAACATACACACTGTGTAATACTTTCTGTGGTCACCTTGACAACATACACACTGTGTAATACTTTCTGTGGTCACCTGGACAACATAAACACCTTGTAATACAGTGGAACCCACTTATTATGATATCGGTTATTATGATATCGGTTATTATGATATATCAGTTATTATGATATTTTCCTTCTTTAGCTAAGCAATAAAAAATTGTTTATTATGATATGGTCAAAGGTAAGACCCCGCCCGCTTATTATGATATTTTTTTCTGCCATGAATGGATTTTATAAGATAACAAGAGGCCCAATGGGCCTGAATCGCTCACCTGGTATTAATCTCACACTTGTAATCTTAAAAGTGGACTAAAACAACAGCTACAGGCAGAATATCAGTGATTGATTAAAACCTATTAAAAGCTTGAAACATATGACCTTGAATGTCGAACAAGGACATTAGGTTCAGCAGAGTTTAGTCTTCCAACCCAGCATGCTTCTGGGAAAATATCAGTACCCTGGACCTTTTGGTTATACAGAACAAGTCCTTTGAAGATTTAAACATATATTGACCACTGTGACCTTGAATATGGGCGAAGGTCATTCATTTGAACAAACTTGGTCGTCCTTCATCCCAACATATTAATGGCCAAATATCATCACCCTTGGCCTTTTACTTATTGAGAAGTCGTTTAAAAGTTTTAAACATATTTGACCCATGTGACCTTGAATATATGTCAGTCATTCATTTGAACAAACCCAGCATGCTACAGGCCCAATATCAATCCCCTGGGCCTTTTGGTTATTCAGAAGACGTTGTTTGAAGATTTTAAGACATTTGACCCTGTGAGTTTGAAAGTGGGTCAAGGTTATTCATTTGAACAGACTTGGTAGCCCTTTATACCAGCATGCTACAGGCCAAATATCATCACCCTAAGCCTTTTTGATTATTGAGAAGAAGTCGTTTGAAGATTTTAACACATTTGACCCATGTGACCATGAAAGTGGGTCAAGGTCATTCATTTGAAAAAACTTGGTAGCCCTTCATCCAAGTATGGAACAGGATTAATTTCAGTATACTGGGCCTTTTGGTTATTGAGAAGAAGTTGTTTGTCTTAAAATCTTCAGTGACCTTGAAAGTTAGTCAAGGTCATTTATTTGAACAAACTTGGTAGCCCTTCATCCCAGCATGCTACAGGCCCAATATCAGTACCCTGGGCCTTTTGTTTATTGAGAAGAAGTCGTTTGAAGATTTTAACACATTTGACCCCTGTGACCTTGAAAGTGGGTCAAGGTCATTCATTTGAACAAACTTGGTAGCCCTTCATCCCAGCATGCTACAGGCCCAATACCATCACCCTAGGCCTTTTGGTTATTGAGGTAAGTTGTCCGTGTGAAACACCTGGACAATTACACAATAGGTCCGGCTAACTGTACATCGCCAGAGGTCATCACCTGTCCACTCAAGGTAAATTGTTCACACCTCACTTCACCCCAGTCAGCGGAAAACAATAGATCGACCGTCATACATCATGCTAATCATACATTTTAGTCTTAACAAAACATGTGGTGCAGTTAATTGCTATCTAAAATACACTTTAGGACTGTCTATCAAATTAAAATGATTAGGCCTACCGAACACAAATTCTGATACGAAAACGGTCATGCCTTTCACAAATATTTACGGTTACTTTGACACGTCATGTGAGAAAATCATGCCAATTTCAATGAAAATATTACTTCTGAAGGAAGACGTGTTTTTCATCCTTTAAGCAATAGTTTCTTTATTGCATTAGAAGTTGGCTTCCCGTGTCTCTGTTGAAAAAATGTCAAAATTGGGACATACCGCCCGGACAGCATGGTGCCAGAAATCGATCCAAAGTTTACGTTATTGTCATCCACAACTTACAACGGCTGCTTTATTTCAGTTTACATCATTTTCATTAAATACAATAAATAGGACAGAGGATTTAACTAAAACACAGGACAGAGGATTTAACGAAAACATAGGACAGAGGATTTAACTAAAACATAGGACAGAGGATTTAACTAAAACATAGGACAGAACATTTACCTGAATCAAAAGCAAAAAGAATCTCGTAGGACAAGGTGTAGACAACCTGCAGGAAACATGGGACAGAAATCCTACCATGACAAGGTATAGACAACCTGCAGGAAACATGGGACAGAGATCCTACCATGACAAGGTATCGACAACCTGCAGGAAGCATGGGACACAGATCCTACCAGGACAAGGTATAGACAACCTGCAGGAAACATGGGACACAGATCCTACCAGGACAAGGTATCGACAACCTGCAGGAAACATGGGACAGAAATCCTACCATGACAAGGTATAGACAACCTGCAGGAAACATGGGACAGAGATCCTACCATGACAAGGTATAGACAACCTGCAGGAAACATGGGACAGAGATCCTACCAGGACAAGGTATCGACAACCTGCAGGAAACATGGGACAGAGATCCTACCATGACAAGGTACAACCTACTTTAATACGACACTGAATAAAGGTGTGAAGAAAGTACCAGAATTAGACTGTGGATTTACTTGATAGGTCTTACCTGTGGACAGTCTTTAATGTAATGGCCCTTGGTGAAGCACAGATGACAGAGGTAGGTGCTTGGAGGGCGTTTGCTGGGCTTTCTGTCCAGGGACAGCGACAGGTCACTGAAGTGGTCCACCAGATCATTGATGCTGCCATAAGGTGAATTTGATACCTGTTGGGACAACGTGCCCTGGAACGCATTCTGAAAGGTCAAAAGGTGAGAATAAAAACAACTGTAAGCCGATAGCAGATTACCTCAGACCTAACAAATGTTATACGGTTCTGATTCTTGTTTTAAAGATAACATTGCTTAATGTTGGCAGGGTCTTTTTATTTTTACTTTCATATAAAAATAAAAAGTAACATATGAAAATTCTATTTTATCAAACAGTGCAAGATTATCAAAACAAAACCTTGCAGTGTACTGTCACAATAGGAATCTAATGGTACAGACAATCTGATTTTGGATTTTCTGGTCATCACCAGTCTAAAGTTTTGCAAAACCACCACAGAATGTCAGAACCATAACTGACTACAGCTTGTGCAATTCTAAAAATTGCAATACTTTTTTTCCCCAGTAGGAGATCTATTTCGGAGAGAATTGATATTATGTTAAATCAAATCTGTAAACCACGACTGTCTTATGAATAAGAAGAAATATATTGTCACAGGACATTGCTATCCAATGGGGAACAGAACTGTTTCCCCGATACAATTTCTGGTCCAAGTTCCCAGGGGCAAGGATGGACTCGAACATTTAGCATCATTGTAGCATGAGTGCATTTGTTTCTTCATACCTAGAAATGGTATGTACAGTTATACCGTGGGAACACTAACTGTTTTCAGGCTAAGACATATGACTTCACCCCAATGTCCTTGGTAAATTATGGTAGCATGAGTGCTTTATTATCATGATGCCCAGAAATTGTTTACATGGGAATAGGGTTTGGATTTTGATCATTTCCATGGACTAAGTCACTAGGGGCAGAGCTAGACCCTGTAACCAATTCTGATAGCATGCTTGTCTTCTTCTCTTTATTCAAAGCTACTGTAAACAACTTAGAGGGCAAGAATCTCAACCATATCCATGTTATGGCTAAGGGACTAAGTTCCCTGGGATGGGGACAAAGAAAGAAACATTCATGAATGTATATTTATCTAATAATTTCAAGAATGGGTACAAATGATGGCGATCTTGTATTTCTATGTGGGGACAGTGCTCAGGACAATTCTTGTAGCAAATATGTATACATTTCTTCATGTCCAGCAATTGTGAGTATGGTGGGGGTCTGGACTGTTTCTATGGTGGGGGTCTGGACTGTTTCTAAGATGTGACCTGTAGATTCTGTTATACATAATACATGTTCTACTTTACTACTACTCTACTTGCTCATATTCTTTCAACTTTTATTCTAAATCAAAATTTGGGAAAATCGTTTTCATTACATAAAATGTGTATGAGCTATGTCAACAGCAGTGCTCCCCCTCAACACAAATCCCCTTACAGATGCCAGTCTCCTACATACCACAGTATAAGTGGCGACAGCTGTGCGAGGGCCACAGTAACAGGCCAGCTTCCATGGGACCTTCACCCCCAGCTGGTTTACCAGTCCACCAAAACAAACCCACTCTCAAACTAAACACGCCATGTTTATTATTCTTAGTGTTTTGATTAATAATTTCAGATCAAGCTGGCCTGGAGACAAATTTCACCAACCCAAACTTTTGAATAACAACAATTCTTCCTATATTCTTCAACCTTATTTTAAATTGTGATTTATTCAATTAACTTATATAAAACTAGAACAATCAGTAAATAGCATACAAGTGCAATGAATTTGTATAATTTACACAATGATTCAGTTTGATCAGATGTATGTAAAGTTATGCAGGCAGAGAAAGTTCTGGCAACATTAAATTGTTGAAAAGCAATCGAAGCATTTCCACGCAAAATACTTGAAAATATTTCAGATATAATTTCGCGAAATGGCATTATTTTCTATTGCCTTGACTCCACAAGAAACATCTGTTGGTATGTGCCGTGTCTGAAGGGGCTAGATAACTGATACGGGCCTCCTCAAGAAAGTGCCCCGTCGCGCGAGGCAGACGATACCGTCCCCAGCAGACTCCAGTAGAACTTCTCATAGTATTCGGCTGCTTTAGTAGGTTATATTTTGGACAAGTTCAATTGATATAATATAGCATTCCTAAAAAGGTTTCTATACTTTATATATTGTATAAATATAGACGCTCTCTTCACGCCGTAAGGAAATGGGTCATTTGCTTCCAAGTACATCTGATGATAATTAGCTCCAAACAGCACGTGCCCCAAACTACATTCATTTGTTGGTCTAGTATTATAGTTAACATCAAACACATATTGTTCTGACGACGTGAAACCTTCCACACAAAAAAAAATCAACTTCAAATAAAAGATATTATATGTATTAATCGGAAATGGTACTCTAGATGTCACAATAAATGGAATGTTTGTCAAAAGATATTGCTGATCTGCCATCTTAGTTATAATAACATGGCTGTCGTCACTGGTACTGAGGCTGGGAATAACACACCAGCCTGAGAATTGTATTGGGCAGTTTAACATGTACTTACAGCGTTAAGGCCATTCAGCGACACCGGGGACCAACCGTCCGGACCGTATATGTTCTGTCCATTTTTTAACAAAGAGGTTACGGTATTGACGGAGTTGACCGTGGAGACAGGGCTGGACCACGGGTCACTGTAGAGAGACTGTCCCCCTTGTACCCCTCCCTGGCCGTCCGCGAGGGTAAGGTAGACCCCCCAGTTCATGAGAAGCTGAGTGGGTTGGTACTGGAGCGACCCAGCGCTGTCCATGGTGGCCAAGGAGGTCATCTTCACAGATCTACACCCCACCGGAAAGATGTTCTAAATGCAGAAAACTTGGCCAACTTCATGTAAAGTTGTGGAAGGCGGGGTCGTACTGCCATTCAACTCTCTTGGCACTGTCTGCTGGAGTTCAGTTTGGCGTATTAGGTAAGGGGGCGGAGATTGCAGCAACCCCATTGGCTTAACACCGCATGCAGCAATGATGTGGCGCGCACCTGTGGTGATGATAGCATAGGAGCATCCTTATTCTATCAATTGACGCAATAATTTAAGTTTATGGTTAAAATGGATTAATTGCTCTTTGTTGTGTTAATGGCAAAGCGTTTCGTTTATGCTTAGAAGTAGACTAAACTGTTTTGTTTTAAATCAGCAGTAGTTATATCGTTCATAATATATATCACGTTACATAGACAACGAACAATATGACGATGTCCCAATAAAGGTGACCTACCCCAACATATCTCAAAACAAAAATTATGAGCCGCCCATTTTATGAAGTTCCGAATATATCTCGGGAACGTTTTAGTCGGCGGTTCCTGGTTCCCGCGCGCGAATTTTTGCTTAGCTGTTTTCAGTCAAAACATTCTGATCTCCTTTGTGTGCGACTATATGAAGAAATTGAATATATAAATATGAATATGTTGTGTTCATGGCAAAACGTTTCGTTTACGCTTAGAAAAGATATAAAAGATATTATATGTATTCATTGGAAATGGTACCCTAGATGTCATACTACAGTGCTATAGCGTTACTTTTATATGTATATGCACATTTTTTCCCGTATCCAGGGGTTACGTTCACTTTGAGAGCGAAAGTGAGCGTAACCCCTGGATTATTCTAATGTCATATACCGTAACATCCCAGGTCATACAACGTAACATTCCAATATCATGCACCGTAACATCCCGCGGTCATGCACCGTAACATCCCGCGGTGATACACCGTAACATTACAATATCATACACCGAAACATTCCAATATCATACACCGAAACATTCCAATATCATAAACCGTAACATCCCGCAGTCATACACCGTAACATCCCACGTCATACAACGTAACATTCCAATATCAGACACCGTAACATCCCGGGCTCATACACCGTAAAATACCAATATCATACACCGTCACATCCCGCGGTCATACCCCGTAACATCCCGTGGACATACACCGCAACATTCCAATATCATGCAGCGTAACATCCCGCGGTGATACACCGTAACATTACAATATCATACACCGAAACATCCCGCGGTCATGCCCCGTAACATCCCGCGCTCATACACCGTAAAATTACAATGTCATGCACCGTACATTCCAAGGTCTTTCGCCGTAGTTTTACAAGGTCATACACAGTGATAGTCCAAGGTCATACGCCGTAACATCGTCAGTTAGCACCTCGATCAGGTTTTGTTACACGATTATCTGTAGACCATATACTATATCATTATTCTGTAGGTTGTGGGTGCTGGCCCATTGTTTGAGGAGGTGAATGTCCATACAAGACCAAACAACAATATGACTCGTTATTATGGAATGACCACCTCCCCCCGGTTTAGAGATCGTGTAGAGCGTTCTTTACTCTGTACGATAAAAAAACGTACACACATTGCCACTCGTGGTTGTAGCTAGGTATCGCGTTTTCGGCTGTCCCTTTGATCATAAACCAATTAGTGTGCAAGACGACGAGCGATCACGTCCTCACTAAAAGTAATGGTATCGCCAATTTTTCAATATTATTATATAAGTGTATTTCAAATACACCAGTGAAATAAAATTCAGACCGAAGTGCCGAAATTGAAAAGAAAATGACAGAAAAATAGGAGGGGTCACGTGGGGCAGAAAACAAAACTTTTTTTGGGGCACAGAAAACAAAGAAACAAGTTACTTACAGAGTCGATACCGTTTGACGGTGTTTCTTCAATTGCCCCCATTCCATCCTCCTCCCACCCTACAGACCTGGGGATAGCCCCAGTATAATTTCGTATCTTCTTCATACTACAGAGATGAGCAGACGAAATGCTGGTGAAAAATCCATTGATAACTTTTTAAGGAGACCTTTTAAAGTTTTCGGGTTTCCACCCAGTGCCCCTTTTGGCCCCGGCCACTCAACTCCCCCGTAGGAGAGGAAGTGGGGGGTCCCTTCTCTAGCCTACAAATCTTATCCTAAGTAAATATAAATCTGATATGTTGGTGAACAACAACCACTAAGTTTCAGAGGACATTTTATAAAGGTGTATACTTCGTGATTCTTAGATATAAGCGCCAGCCCTCAGCTCCCTTTGGGGTTAGTCTTTTCTTGAATATAAAATCTTATCTTCATCATCTAAGGATCATTAAAAAAAGGTGCAAATCCAACAGCAAGTTTCAGACAAAATGGGTTCTAATGTCCCTACCCTTTCCGCCGTCTAGGATCAGCTCCTTGTCAGCCTTCTTGAGTATATATTCTGATTCTCTTAGACTTACGAGATTGGATAACCGAACTACTCGGTAGAGAAGCGGACCAATCAATCAATCGACTAACGAGATTATTTCATAAACAGTTGGTCTCAATCCAGCACTAGGCGACCCCTCATTCCCTCACCCTTCATCTCCCTGGGGGTCAGCCCTTTTTGAGTATATACTCCGATCCTCATCCCCAAAAATCGTTTCATAGAATGTTCGTGAAAATAATTAATCACCGATACGTTTTGTAATTTGTGACCTTCAGATCCATAAGATGCCATCCACTTCTTCCGAATGCATATTGATCTTTGTAATATCACCATCTAAGCTCATTTTATAGCGTTCATCTTTTAACTTTCCCCGTTGTAATGCTTCTTGTTTTCACTAAGATTTAAATCCGTTGGAGAGCCGGTGTTTTCGCTTAGAGTTAGTCCCGTTGGAGAGCCGATGTTTCCACTTATATTGAGCCCCGTTTGAGAGCCAGTGTTTTCGCTTAGATTGAGTCCCGTTGGAGAGCCGGTGTTTTCACTTATATTGAGCCCCGTTGGAGAGCCGGTGTTTTTGCTTAGATTGAGCCCCGTTTGAGAGCCAGTGTTTCCACTCAGATTGAGCCCTTTGTTATGCTTTTGGTTTTCGCTTAAGTTGAGCCCCGTTGGAGAGCCGCTATTTCCACTTAGATTGAGTCCCTTCGGAGAGCCGGTGTTTTCGCTTAGATTGAGTGCCGTTGGAGAGCCGGTGTTTCCACTTAGATTGTAGATTGAGCCTCGTTGGAGAGCCGGTGTTTCCAATTAAGATTGAGCCCCGTTGGAGAGCCGGTGTTTTCGCTTAGATTGTAGATTGATTTTCGTTGGAGAGCCGATGTTTCCGCTTAAGTTGAGCCCCGTTGGAAAGCCGGTGTTTTTTTACTTATATTGAGCCCCGTTGGAGAGCCGGTGGTTTTTGCTTAGATTGAGCCCCGTTTGAGATTCGGTGTTTCCACTTAGATTGAGCCCTGTTGTTATGCTTTTGGTTTTCGCTTAAGTTGAGCCCCGTTGGAGAGCCGCTATTTCCACTTAGATTGAGTCCCTTCGGAGAGCCGGTGTTTTCGCTTAAATTGAGTGCCGTTGGAGAGCCGGTGTTTCCACTTAGATTGTAGATTGAAGCTCGTTGGAGAGCCGGTGTTTCCAATTAGATTGAGCCCCGTTGGAGAGCCGGTGTTTTCGCTTAGATTGTAGATTGATTTTCGTTGGAGAGCCGATGTTTTCGCTTAAGTTGAGCCCCGTTGGAGATTCGGTGTTTCCACTTAGATTGAGCCCTGTTGTTATGCTTTTGGTTTTCACTTAAGTTGAGCCTCGTTGGAGAGCCGGTGTTTTCACTTAGATTGAGCCTCGTTGGAGATTCAGTGTTTTGCTTAGATTGAGCCCTATTGTTATGCTTTTGGTTTTCGCTTAAGTTGGGCCCCGTTGGAGAGCCACTATTTCCACTTAGTAGTTTGTGGTCCTCGAAGCTTTTTTCCACCAACTATAACATTGTTCTTTTTACATATTAAACATATCCTTTACTACATTTTTGTATTTACAGTTTAAAAAGATTCCCCCAACATTCATTTTTTGTTCCTCTCTCCACTTTTCTTGTAAGTTAGCTCATATACAAGTCGGGTGGATCCTAATTGGTAAGTCTCTCCAATGCCTATTCTACCTATTTTGAATTGGTTGATTGTATTGATCGCCGTTAACAAGTTCCTCTGGCAGTCGTTAATTACTCTCTTAGTTTAAACAAAGTTTATTGTACAAAGATACAAATGGATTGGACTCTCTTGTTGAAGCAGTGGTTTCTGATATTTATTCTACACTGTTTTCTTTTTTGTTTTGAAGTTGTGTCCCCTGGTTCTACAGTCAGTTTCCGTGTCAAAAATCCATCTTTCTCTAGTTTGTCAATTCCTTTTATCATTCTAAACATTTGTATCATGTCTGTTATTTGCTGAGACGGTTGATAGAAATATCCTTCTGTCAGTACCCAGCGTGTATTGCGTTACTCCACCTCCATTAATACACGGTCCTGAGGAGTGATCACCCGTGGAGGGAGATGAACCAGCGGGAAACGCCAACCAAAGACTACGATATACATTATCATTATTCTTATGTTTTGAATGTAGTTTAATTGACTTCTCAAGTACTCTTTCTCGCTTCTTGGAAACCAGTTTCCGACTTTTTTTACACGTGTATGACTCGAGTTATAGAAACGATACAGAGACGACAAAATCAGTCAAGATTGCCTCTTATAAGAATAAATCTGAGCTCATTATAAAACTATAAATACAATTATAATACAAGATTAAGACGAAGTCAGCAATTTTTTAACAGGAATAATAGCATTTCTCTTCCAAACGACATTTTTCTATTGTCAACGTGGTCAAATAGACTGGATAGGTTATATATCAGAAGAGAGCACTCGTCAGCTAACACAGATAATAAGAGGCTAATTACGCAGATAGAACAAATTAAAAATAATATTAATAAATCATCGGGTTTATCATCAATGTAATTCTTCTTCCAGGTATTTTGCTAATGCTATCAGTGGCGGTTTAAGATAGAAGTGGGTATGTTTTTAAGATGCAATATCTGAGGGAT